GGCAGCTCTCCCCGACGGGGCCCTGCCCATTCCATCCCCGCTGGCGCCACCCCTGGGCCAACAGCAAGGAAGAGCGGTATATTACCGTATTGGACTGCTCAAATTTTGTGTATAGGCCTACTTAAAAGGACCGTATATAGGCCTATTTGAGGTCACTGTTTTAATCCCGTTAGTGTTTTTTTTGGGTCTAAATAACATTAATTAAAGCACGCCGTTCTCTAACGTTTTCAACCAGTTGGTTTCTAGCAGTGGCGTGTAAAAGGGTGCGGGGGAGGTGGGGGCACATGCCCCTAAAAATACTCGCGATCCCCGTCTCTCCCACTCGCCCACCTCGCTCCAACTACGAAAAAAGGTTCAAAGCAAAAATAATCAAGTAGATAAAAATCACCATTTTTTCGAGCTATTTCCCCCTCACTTAATTATCCCCATTTTTCCTTGGAGTGTTATGCTGTGCAAGGTGTCATTGTACGATATATTATAACTGTATGCCTACGTCGTTTGTTTTGGTTATTGTAGAAAACCTACAAAAACAAACAAAATGAACCATTTAAGCGAGACACGATCCCGTTAAGTCAAAACCAAAGTCACACATTGGATTCTTTTCTTCCCATTTGATGGCAATAAAGAAATACAAATTGTCATTTTACAATGATTTATTCTGTCTTGAGAAAGTTTCGTGTATCGTTAGTTTATCCCGGGGTAACGATGGATAATTCCGGGTGCCAAAGGTTGTAAATTCATGATCATCTGGAAAACATCGGCTTAGCTAAAATGCATACAATGGACTACAGAATTTATAAGCTCATTTTTCAGTGCCAGAATCGTTATTATAAATCGTTTAATTTTTTGACTTAAGTAACCTTAACTTTGGCGGTATATATCATGAAAATTTTGAGGAATTTAGGCCTAGTGTAAGCATTTGTTCAAAAGGTAGGCATAGTTATCATCTCCGTGTAATAATTCAAACTTTTTTTGACTGTAGATACTGTGGTGCATAAATAGTGAAATATCATGGTCGCCGTTACTGATTTTGGATGACCGTATAATTGCACATTGACCGGTGGTAGCTAATTGTATCGATATACGCATGTCAATGACGGCTGCATTTCGTGTTGGTAAACAACTTATGTTTTATCAATATGTTGATAGTCCTAAGAGCATAAAAATACGTGAATAAAATATATAGATGTTAAAAAGGACAGTATGTAGTATGAAACCCTAAAGATGTATTGCCTGATGCAGAGGGGTTCCTCGTCTCCCAAATGCATTGCTAAATGTCAGCTAAAAAAAAACCAAAAAAAAAAAAAAAAAAAAAAAACACTACACAATGACAAATTTCGTTAATTTTTCAAGGTTATATTTGTATCGAACAATGTTTACTAGATGCACGCAATGGATCATTATAAAGACAATCCAATCCAATATTTGTATAGCGCCAAAATCCACTCAGTCTACCATTGGCAATCGTCAAGCGGCGTCGCGTCTGAAGCGCATACGTAGAGAGCGGACATGGATTCATCGGCCGGCGACGGTCGTACGACCGTCTTAAGACGCAGTGTGTGTCTAGCTTAAGAGGAAACTGACATTGGTAAGCACTGACTGTGGAGGCACCTCAGTATTTTTAATGACCTCCGGATGAGGATGCTCATTTTGACAAACAGGCCACGGTGATGATCGACCTGGTTTGTGACTAAATAGAAGATGAGGATGAAGACGTACATGATTTCACAGAGAATCCATCCAGGTTCAATGAGCGGGCAAATGGATTATTTTTTACATGGCAATACACTCAATTTTAATGACAATCCACTCAAACTGCCGTGGACAATCAGCAAACGGTATCGCGTCGCTAAGCGCTACAGACTATATCGAAAATGATTATTTTTGTCAACGGTCAGACGACGGTCGTACGAAGCAGTGTGTACGTTTGCTGAACGTAAGGGATTTTAGGCCAGAATACAGTATTACTGTTTTTGGATGGCTAAGATGACCGATTGGGTATAATAGTTTCTTGCTAGTAGAATCTTCAGCTATTAGTGTTGGTTTTAATTCCGATTCATTGCTCACGGTTTCATTAAAACTAATTGGACATCAACCTAGTACGCTAATATGATAATATATTTTCTTACACTCTTTGGCGTAAAAACTGGATTGTCAGAAGCGAATGATGTGTTTAAAGTTAGTTATGTAAAGTTAAATATATAACGAACTTAATCAATGGTACAATAATATTACCGACATATATTATTATGTACATAATTTAGGCGGCATTATGTTTCAAATAAAAATCACACGTTATAATATTGGAACCAATAAAATCATATACTGTAGAATTATCGGTCAGTAAAATGTGACACACAAGCAGGCTTCCTTTTATATATTGACATCACACTGCGAGGAGGTCAGAAGGCGTGATCTCTGGGTACTTAAGATTGGCAGTTGAACGTGATTTCTGATTGGCTCAAAGCTATAAAATGTCCGCATTAATACACGGTGGTATTTAACTAGGCGATCATGTTATAAACTTCTCACAAACGATTGTTTCTCCATATACCCGCATTACTTCGTCTCGTTAAGGGGTACATTTTGCATAGATTTATGGTTAATGGACCAGGAGATCAACAATACTGGTTTTTCAGTCAGTATCCGTGTTAACGATTTGTGACGAAAACATTGCTTTGCATGAAGGAGGAGCCACAGGGTGCTCGAGTAGAGTTAACGGATTAACACCGTGGGAACACTTGGTTAACTGGTGTGTTTGATGAACAGTCATTTTATACTAAATGAAGATTAATCATATCTATTGAACACGGATTATTCAGACGTTTATTGTGTGACGTAATCAATAGTCTGCAGTTGAGCTTCTATCTGTCGTCTGACAACTGGACATTTTGTGTAGTTGGTCACAGACAATAACCAGTTGATACGCTCTCTGACGGAGCTACATAATCATCTTCGTATATCTCCGTCACTGAACATACACGCGTGATTTTTTTGACAGGAATTGTTCTGAGTATTAAGGAAAATGGTATCGCACACAATATTTTCATCGGGGATGATAATAGTATTGGCTTTTCTCAATTTCGACAAATGTAGATCTATGCAAGAAGGGCTGACGGGCCGCTATTCAAAACCGACATGCGTTAACATCCCCAGGCAGTTGAGTCTATGTCAAGACATAGGCTACAGTAGAATGCGGATGCCGAACCTATTGGATCATGAGAGTCTAAGTGAGGTTCAAACACAGTCGGTATCATGGCTTCCACTTGTGAGAACAGCTTGCCATGAGGATGTAAAGCTATTTCTGTGCTCGCTCTTTACCCCTGTGTGCTTGGATAGGCCCATATACCCGTGCCGTTCTCTTTGCGAAGAGGTTAAGCGCGACTGTGAGCCGGTGATGTCTCAATTTTGTTTCCCCTGGCCTGAGATGCTTAGATGTGATAAGTACCCGGAAGATAACAACTTATGTATTACTGCCCAGATGGGGAACGCCAGTAATGCGAATAACAGTGCTATTACATCAAATACAGGTGAGTCTGACTGTTGAGAATGACAATTATAAGTTTCCATGAACATATTTCATGACTCTTATAATAATAATAATAATAACAATAATAATAATAATAATAATAATAATAATAATAATAATAATAATAATAATAATAAACAA